GAGTGTGCATCTAAAGGGCACCAACAGTTAGCTGCCCAAGTCATTACCAGGGGGCTGGGTGGGCTTGTACAGCCCCTGCTGCTGTGGCGTCACTGCTACCAGCACCCGAGCAAGCTGGGGTGTGTCTTCAGGTGCTGTCTTCACCCCCCCATTGCAGTGTGACCCCCCCCCCCGAGTCAGCAGAGCAAGGGGCGGGTCAGTGCAAAGCCAGGCAGAGCTCAGCCATTCCACATCATGTGGCCACCTCATCCCAGTCACCTGCTACTGTTACTGTGACATTACCTGTGCTTGTCTGTAGCCAGGTGATGAACCCAGGGGACAAAATGTTTGTGCCGGTTCACCTGCCTTTTACAGTGAAATCCCTGCAGAGAGCGTGGGGGGTGTGAGGAAGACACTGACTGGCTGGTCACTGGACACATGGGCATGGGGCGCTCAGGCACGCTGGGTGAGGCCAAAGCCAGCCCTGACAATGTCCTGGGTGTCCAACACCCATGTGAGCCCCAGGATGGCCCCCAAAGGGCTGTTAGCACCAGCCCTAGGTAGTGAACTTTGCAGCCCTGGGAGCAGGTTGTCAAAGAAGGAGCATCGCCCATATCCCGCTGTAATGGCTCCCCTGGATGTCTGAGTACCAAGCATTGGGCACCCAAATGCCCCCACGGATGCCCAGTGTGGCCCCCTGTAAATCTCTCCTGGTCCCTCGATTTCTCCCCACTCCCTTGTGTCCATCCCATGCCACCTGCAATAACATACTATGTCTTTACAAAGCACCCTGGACAACCCCACTATGGAACTGGCCTTATTAACTCTGAACTAAAACAAACCATTTATGGTATGTTTCTCAAAGAAGTAAATATCCTTACAAACCTGATACTGATCTAATATCCCCTGATTCTTGGTCAGAGGCCAAGTCTGTGTAACTCAACATCTGGCTCATGTTTTCTCTGTGCCTTTCCTATTCTTCTATCTCCAGAGGAAAGTGAAGAACAGGAGAGAGACGATTGCAGGTGAATTTAACAAACTGCACACACTGCTGAGAGAGGAGGAGCAGCTGCTTCTGCAGAGACTGGAGGAGGAGGAGAGGGCGACTCTGCAGAGACTACAGGAAAATGTCACCAAACTCTCCCTTCAAAGCTCCTCTCTGCAGCAGCTGATCACAGAGATTGAGGAGAAGTGTCAGCAACCAGTTGTCGAGCTGCTAAAGGTGAGACAGCATCAAAATTCTCCACCATCCAGAATTATAACTCAGATTTCTGGGTCTGGATCCCAACAATGAGAGTAAATGTGTCTGTGGTTACAGACAAACAGAACATCCGGCTAAGGGCTCCATCAGTTCCAAAATATCGCAGTTCATGTTAGAGGGGAATTCTCCTCCTGGAGATCCCAGTGAGGCCATGGGAGATTAAATGGATGACACAAAAATGATACTGAGCTAAACCCATCCCTGCTCTGACTCCAGAACATTGGACCCAACACAGTCAATAAACACAGATACTGATGGGCTGGGTCCCGAGAAGGGAGAACCCTTTAGCTAAAATCCTGTCTCACCTACATCAATGAAACAAGTGTTAAGGCAAAATGCCATATGAGTTTTATCACAAAACAGTGAAGCCTGGAAAGGTTGATTTGTTTTCTAGGTGAAAGGTTGATGCGCAGAGTGAAAATTCACTGTTTTTTACACATGGTTTAAACTAAGAACTTTGATTCTCTTTCTCCTCCAGGATGTGAAAAGCACATTGAGCAGGTACGTTTCTGATGTTCATGGCTCTTATATCCTCGGTAGCGGCTCTGCGGTGATGTGTGCACAGAACAGCTGAGTGATGATGGGATGTTTTCTTCATAGGAGTGAGAATGTGAAACTCCAGGAACCAGAAGCCGTTTCTACTGACCTGAAGAACGTGTATAAAATTTCCCTTGACATGAGGGAAGCGTTGAAGAGATTTGGAGGTGAGTGGAGTCTACTGGGACATGCAGCTGTATTGTGCCTGGGGATCTGGACAGAGCCTGGGACCCCAGGACACGCATGGACCCAGCTGACAGGCTTGGAGCTGTGTGATAGCTGGAGGCTGATGTGCTCAGTGCTGGGGAGTTTGCCTGATATTTGGACCCACTAGGGTTGCCAACTCTCCCAGACCGGACGTCATTGACACAGTATGGCATCTGGTCCGGGAGAGTTGGCAACCCTCGCACCCACCGGCTGGTATATTCCCAGGTGTCTGATCAGGCCCCATCACTCTGACATCCTGACCCCTCCATGGCTGAGTTAATGGGTGTCACTGAGCCAGGTGCTGTGAGGCCTGGACTGGGCCCATTGTGCTGCGTGCTGCACAGACTGATAACAGATGACGTGTCCATGCCTGTCTCCTGGGACATGTGAGGGCTGCATGGTGTGGCCACCGCTCAGCATTGCCCCAGCCCCCATTAGCCAAGGCTGGCCAAGCTTTCTGAGCTGGAGGAGGAGCTGGTCTGGCTGCGGTCTGACCTGGGCCTTGTGTTGCTGGGTAACAAGCTGAATCCCCATCTGCTCTGAGCACAGACCAGTGTGAGGTTGGGTCAGTGGTTTGCTGCTCAGTGAGTGAGATTCTCTCACAAGAGTGTGACCCTGTCACAATGGCTGAGCGTGAGCTGCCCCCGTCCAAACCCCTCCCCACAACCCCAGCGAGGAGACCGGGGGCAAAGCCCTTAGGAGCTGGGCAGTGAGTGTTGTTATTGATATAGCACCCTGGGAGCTGCTGTCAGGAGCTGGGCCAGGAACGGGGCTGCAGTTGGGGCCAGAAGCTGGGGGCCGTGGCTGGGAGTGGACCCGCGGTTGAGGCTGGGAGCTAGGGACTTTGGCCGAGGGCGGAACTATGTTTGGAGCTGAGGCTGCAGCTGGGTTCGCAGCCTGGAGCAGGGCCGGGAGTCAGTGGCTGAGGCCGGGGCTGGAACTGTAGCTGGGGCTTAGGGTGGGGCCGGAGTGGAGCTGGGGGCAGAGCAGGGCTGGGTGGCGTTTCCTTTCCGCCACCCACAGGGACTGGACCAGGCCCTGTCAGGTCCCCCTAATGTTCATCCACACCCTTGAGGGAGGCACGACCCACAGTTTGGGGACCACTGCTCTAGGAGCTCCCCTTCCAGGCTCCTTGCTCTGGTGAGCTCTCCTGGGAGCTCCTCTCCTCAGCAGCTTCCTGTCCCTAGGATCCCTTCAGCTGAGCCCTGGTAACCCTTTATCAGGCTGATTAGCTGCCAACTAACCACCCAGGGATTTAATTACTTCCAGGTTGGTCTGGGTTCTCTCATTCTCCCTTACAGGAGCCTGTCACAGGTAGTCTTGTCCATGACTCCCCTAAAAGCACCAGCCCTCTTGATACATTTCCTCCCACCCTCAGAGCCGACCTGTATTCAAAGGTAGGCTTGACCATGGCTGACACTTTGAAACTTTTCTAGCAGAACATAACCAACTCCAGGAAAGTAAATTGGGGGCCACTTCCAGGAGCTGCACAGACCTAGGACAGGCAGGGAGCCTTCCTTATCCCCGGGCCCCCGCTGCGCCACTGACCAGACTTTTAACGTCCCAGTCGGTGGTGCCAACCGGAGCCGCCAGGGTCCCTTTTTGACCAGGCGTTCCAATCAAAAACCAGACCCCTGGCAACCCTATGGACAGGTGCCAACCCGAGGTCCTGTCCAAAGGGCCCAGTAACACCTTGCTGAGCCAGGTACAGGCAGCCACATGCCAGCCCAGGCCCCTGGCAGGGATGCTGAGCTGCCAGCTGCCATGGTCACTAACAGTGTCACGTGCCACTCACCACACTTAGAGCCCCCAGAGCCCTGGACCCAGCCCCAGGAACTGCTGTAACCTAGATTCATGGCAATGCAGGGCTGGAAGGGACCTCGAGAGATCACCTAGTCCAGCCCCCTGCACTGGGTCAGAGACTAGACTATCCCTGGCAGGGATTTGTCCAACCTGTTCTTACAAACCTCCAGTGACGGGGATCCCACAACCTCCCTTGGAGCTGGGTCCAGAGCTTCACTGCCCTGAGTGTTAGAAAGTGTTTCCTCATCTCCAGCCTCAGTCTCCCTTGCTGCAGATTGTGCCCATTGCTCCTTGGACAGACCCTCGCCCTTCCCGCTGGGGCACTGGCTGTGTCACCAAGTGTGAGCATTGCTGGTATTGCACTGAATGGCTGGCGGCGCTGGGTTGGCTCAGGGGGGGCAGTGCGGGGAGCTGGGGCCTTTCACTCCCCAGTCACCAATCTCAGCCCAGGCTCAGAGTCTGGTTCCCAGCAGACAGGAGCTCACATCATAACTCACCTTAACAGCAGCCTCACCGGC